CACAGATCTCTCCAGTTTACCACCCATAAATTTCACCTCAACTGTTGTTTCATTTGGAAAATTCAGTTGACTATCAGTACAGCTGTAAATTTGAACACTGTCAAGGAAAAATAATCCGAGTAGCAATTAAAGAAGTACACTTCCTTTCTCATTGCAAAATGGGCAACATTTTGCAATAACTGAGAGAGAGAAAGGGGGCGTTTACAACAGCCCTTGGAAATCCAGGAAAGACGATAATTTTTGCATCAGAAAATACCTCATAGGAATTTCTGGGAAGTTATTTTGGATAAAGGAGTATCGAAAGCAAAAGTTTTGAAAGTAATTTGAAGGTGAGTTGAAGTGTAGGAGTTCAATCTGAGGAAGAGAAATTTGTATGATGATAAATTAAATATTGGTAATAACAAACTAACAAACGAGCAATTCAAATAATTTGTCTCATAAAGTAGGATATCCAGACTGTAGAAGGATGACTGTTGTAGTAACAGTTGTTCCATTGTCCTTGGACCTCCTCTCCACCAACACAAACATGTGGATCTCCGTCAATCAGTCAGTCAATCAGTCAGTCAATAATTCAGTCAATCAGTCAATCAGTCTATCAGTCAGTCAGTAAGTCAATCGGTAAGTCCAATCCAATGAGTACCGGTAAGTCAGCCAGAAAGTCAAACAGATAAGGAGTCACTTACGAAGATCTTTGTAGTACCCCTTCCTGTAGCAATCCACCTGGGTAAGTTTTTCCAAATAAACCTCCGTTTCCTTTTCGTGCGAAAGCGGATTCAATGCACGCATCAACAAAACCATTGTTAGCATCGTCCCTAAAAACATAATAAGTTTGGCCACTTTGTTTTTCAGCAAGTACTAGTCATGGATAAACTCCTTCTAGCGTGCATTTCGTCAGTGTCATAAATCCAAACCCTTATAGCCGCACAAAGAAAACATTCCACGGTTAGTTCACCTAAGCTCCAAGAAAAGCCACGAAAGTGGCGGGGAAATCATCGTAAGCAAGTCGTGCTTCGCTTTAGTTCTAGTATGTCATTCGTTAAATAGGTCTTTCAAATCAATGACATCGCATAGCGCAGAAAAAAAAAAACCCTTGCAATTCTAAGCTAAGGTAGTAGAGTCCGCTTCTTTGTCATATTTTCCCAAAGGAATGACGAAATAGCAGATCGGTAGATAAATGAGCATAGCACTGAAGGCGCATTCTTAGAGTTATCTTGCAGGATTATAATTCTCCCTATGACTCTCTACTTAGCAAAGTTAACTCTAAATCTCTGTATAAAAGACGCCTTCAGACTTTCTTAATTATATTGTACAAGAGCTTGTTTTTTAACTGCTATCCAGGCTATCTGAAGAATATGTTTAGTTTCCGGTCTGTATCCTATAATCTACGCGGAAATTATATTTTGTCTCTACCGTCTACAAAAACTACTACTTATGGTCTTCACTCCTTTTCATATATGGCTTCAAAACTATGGAACTCTCTTCCGGACTCTTTTAGAACGTCTGACTTTTCTGATTTCAAGCGCAAGATTCTACAGTATGACTCTTTCTCATAGTTAAATTTTAGAATGTTACAATTTTACATTTTACATTTTAGCAGTATTTAGAATTATACTTGTAACTCGAAGATACTAGCTTATTCTTTAGCTACTCCAAATTCGAGATTAAATAAAGTATATGTATGTATGTATGTATGTATGAGACCGCTTTCCCCCTACCGCTGTGGCCTGGGTCCTACCTCAATCTTATGGAATACTTACATTTGTTATCCGGTTCCTCTTCCAACAGGAGTCGACAGGACTCCAGCTCTTGTTGAAGGACCGAACTGTGAACAGCTGTGAGCTCCGATCTGATGATGAATAAAATACGAC